TCATGCTTGGTAGGGTGGAGGGTCGACGAAAGAGGGGGAGGCCTTCAACGAGATGGATTGATACAGTGGCTGCGATGATGGGCTCAAGTATAGCATGGATTGTGGGGCTGGCGCGGGATCGGGCAGTGTTTCGTTCTGCTGTACGTGGGGTAGCTATGAGTCGGAAACGACTCGACGGCACTTAACAACAACAACAACATAGTAATTCTTTACCTTTTCAGTTAGAAAGTCCTAATTCACAATTTGACAGTTATGTCCTCACCAATGGCAACAAGGGAATGATGGCTCAAATGGCAACAAGGGAGTGATGGCTCAAACATCAAAATTGGGATATCATGACTATTACAGGAATGGAGAAGGTTCCTTTTGAACTTCTGGCAAGGTTGGCTGTGAGGACTAAATGCAATAACATGGGTAAAACACAGAGCTTAGGAGCTTATTAAAGTGCAAATATCATCACACCAATAATATAAAAGAAGCTCACAGCTATCTTCCATGTAACTCGCTAGATGAACTGGCCACACTCTCTCTTCCTACTCAAAAGCAAACTCATAGCCATTGAGTCAATTCTGACTCATAATGACCCCACATTGGGTTCCCTGGGCAGTAAATTTTTACAGAAGTATATTACCCCATCTTCCTTTCATGGAGAGGCTGGTGGGTTTGAACCACCAACCTTCTGGTTAGCAGTCAAATGCTTTAGGCACTACACCACTAGAGCTCCTTTCTCTTTGTACTAGAGAACAGTATTTAAATGTAGCCCAAGCCCACCAGCATTGCCCTTCTGTTCCCATTAATGGGGCTGCTTGCAAGAGCCCTTTTCCCCAAAACATTTTTGTGCTCATTGGACTTATTATGACTTTGTGCTTTAATAACATATGAATGAATGGCATTCATATATGGACAAAAGAGTTGTATCTATGAATTGCTGGTAAATCAAGTAGAGTGACTATTGTAAAAGACGAGTGGAGGGGACACTAAAATTTTGAAGAATGCTCAACTCATATTATTTCACAAATGCCTTTAAATTCTTGATCCTTTTTATTTATTTATTTATTTATTTTAAATTAGGATTTGGGTGAAGATTTACAGAGTAAATTCACTTTTCATACAGCAGTTCACATATACTTTGTCTCATGTCATTGACCAAAATTTACAATGCAGCAGCTCCCCTCCCACTTCCTCCCCATAGTTACCTCCTCCCAGTGTCCATCCCTTCATACTCTTCTGCACCCTGAGCTATCTCCCTGTGCATAAGCAGCCCTTCCTTCTCCCATGATTGTTCTCTCCAGGGCGTGTGTCTACTTGAGGTAAATGTTTAACTCACATGCCTGTACTTTGTTTGGCTGGAAACCACAGTTGTAGGTTCAATTCCAGACCTGAAGGGCAACTAGGGGCCATAGTCTCAGTGGTTACACCAGGCTCCATTGGACCAGCAAACCTGGTCCCCACCTTCTTTTTTTTTTTTTTTGCCTCCAAACGATTTTGAGTTTTGTACCACATTGTTCTCACTCTTTATGTAGGATCTTGATCCATTTTTAAGAAACTGGAAATATTAGATGTAGTCCTAGATATGATTTGTCCATGACAGTGTCCAAATCCCTGGGAATGGACCTGGTTTGGCCCCAGTCAAAGACTAGCACAAAACTGTATATCAGTAAGTTTTAAGTTGAAATAAAATATTGACTACGATGATATCATTTTGATAAACCAACCAAGGATGCCTTGATCAAGTTGGATGAAAGACTCCACTACTGTGAAAATTCCTAGAGAACTTGCTCCAGGCCATGCTGTGCTTAGAAGTTTAACAATCATGCTATTTTATTTTTTGCCCAGAATTCAAATCCCACACATCCTGGAAAAGGGCATTTGACTTTTCGCAGCTCCATTCCTGATTCAGTGCTGGGGAGCTGGCCAAGAGCTTTACTTGCTTTGTATCACTGAAGTCCCCACCTGTGAGACACATGCCATCCACACTCTCAGGATGCAGTTTCCTGCAGTGGTCCAAAGGCTGCATCCCACACATGAATCTGCCTTGACCCATATCACTGGAACATATACTCCCTGTTACCACAGTGATGTTGATGGTGTTGAAGAGGATAATTCTTACAATTAAAGATTAATAATGTGTTTAAAGGTAAGTCCAGCAGTCTTTGCAGAGAGGAATCTAGCATGGAGCGGGAGGCTGCTCACAGATCTCAGGGGAAAAGTCCCAGGCCAGAGAAGAGACTGGAAATGAAGAAATCAAAGATTACTCCCTCCACTGCTTCCTGAGGCTCCTTGATAGAAGATAGGCATGGGCTTTACCCCGGGTAACAACTGCGGGAGGAGAGGACACATGCCTGTGTGTACATGTGTGCATGTGTGAGTGTGAGTATGTAAGTATATAGATATGTGCATGTGTACATATGTGTATGCATTTGTGTGCATGTGTGTTTATGTGTATATGAGCATGTATGCATGGGAGCATATGTGCGTAAGTATACATGAAGTGATGTGTATGTTTATATGCATCAGTGTACATGTGTGTACACATGTGTACATGGGTGAAGGGTGCATGTGCATATCTGTGCACGTGTATGTAGGAGGTGATTCCCACATGGGGAATGCATGAAAGCCAATGGGTCATTCTCCCAGGAAGACATCCGAAATTCCATGAAGACAGAGCCAGATGCAGACAAAAGTCCCTGGGGATGGAGTCCTTTGGGATGATGTGTCCAGGGAATGATGTAGCAGGACCAAAGGAGCAGTCATCAAGGTGGAGGAGAATTGAGAGGATCATGGGCAGGCAGATATAAGCTCTAAGGAGTGGTAATCATAAGGAGAAGGGAGCAGCAGAGACAACGGTGAGATAAGTCTTCACCATCTAAATAGTTGTTGCAGGCAGGTGGCCTTGGAAGCTCAGAGCAGTATGAAAGTATAGGCTGAAGGATAGGAGGAAAAAGAGAAGAAAGGAGGTTAGGGAACAGGATTAAGGAAGTGTTTCCATTTAGTTTTTAAGATGGAAGAAGCAGGGAATATTGATAATTTAAAGAGAAGGAGCAAAAAGGGAGAAGCTTAAGAGCCTGGGATAAAAGGTTAATTGAAGTGGGATGGGTACTCAACCCAGATAGGAGAGGGAAGAGGTTATGGGACATTGTATTTACCCATGCAAAAGTCAGAAAAGTCACTGGGAATGGAAGTGCAGTTGGGTTTGTGGGGAAGATTTGACAGTAAGCAGGAAAGCTACTGTGAAACAGAAGCACTACCTTGTTAGTGTAGAAACACAGGTTGTGTCCAGGAAGGAGAAGTAAGATAAGGACTTACAGAAACAAAGAAGGTGATACATTTAACAGTACACTACATCAAAATATTCTCATGTGAAATGTTTACCCCAAATATATTTATATTATGTAAGTGTGTTTGATGATATGTCCAAGAAATATTTCACACATATAGCAATATCATCACATGAAACTTTGATTGACATTTTATCTATCATTACAAATTTACATTGACTAGAAATCAATGAAATACACAGAATAAGTCATCTTTAAATACAGGTCAATTGTTCTTTAATCTATTTAAAAACTCACTGCTGCATATTTGATTTTGCATTTTCTAGGCAGTATTTTCTCATGTACTTTAAAGCAGAAACATGAGCTTTAGAAGAGCTACAAACAAATATTTACATAAAATGTGATAAAGCTTTCCATGACATATAAATTAAGATACAAGTTACTGTGTAGAAAAAAATAAACTTACAGTGAATAAATAAACTAATAACTTTATACGAAGTAATATGTGGAGTATAAAAAGTAATTCTTGTGCATACCTATGTGTGTATGTGTGTGTTCTAGAGTATAAATACACTTTATATACTTAAATATTTCATATAAAGTAACATATTACACTGCATTTGTGTTCAGTTTTGTAAACTAAAATACTGATGGCAGTGGGGGTCTCCTCTGACCTCCGGAGTCCCTGGGATCTTCTTTCCACTCCATGGGTACACACACCAGCAGAGCCCAGCCTCACCCTCCAAAGATGTCTCACACTGCAAAGACAAGACAAGACTCAGTGTCAGGAGCAGCAGAGGCACATGAAGCCAGTTGCACTCAGCAAAGCCCTGCGTCCAAAGATGTGTGACTCTGGGCAAAGAAGATACCCTCTGTTCCTCATTATCAAGTACCAAATGCAATTCTGTCTTGATGTGCTTGTTAATTGCTCAAGTGTTAATGCAAAGAAGTCTGTTTTCAAGGTACTGATGTTAGACCAGCTGAGCTAAAAGGCCTCAAAGGAAGGACACTTCATGCATGTGAAACCAACAGTGCCTGTGCCATAGGTAGTCACTGTTTCTAATCTGTGATAAAGCCACAACTCGTTTTCAGTTACCCCCAGAAAAATTGATATAAAGTCTGTGATATGTTTAAGCCTAAAACTCTCCTGCAAATTAAACCTTGGTTTGTTTTATATCTTTTATTATTTGGCAATCCAAAAACATGCTACTATGTTTTATTACAGACTTATAAACCAAAACAAACTCACTGTTGTCGAGTCGTTTCTGACTCATAGTGACCCCTCCTTGAGTTCTGAGGCAGTATCACTACAGAAGTAGATTGCCTACTCTTCCTTCCAAGGGGTGGCTGGTGGGTTTGAACTACTAGCCTTCTGGTTAGCAGTCAAATGCCTAGGCACTACTCCACTAGAGCTCCTAGCCTTATTAAAGACCTTTATTATTCCTTTGTGGGAAGGAAAATAAATAAATAAATAAAAGACACAAGAAATGTCCATGTAGATACTCACTTTCCTAAGTTGAGTTTGTTCCATTTCTCTCGTAATGAGGAATCTAAGGTCCAAATAACTAGGAACCTGTCCAAAGTCCCCAGTTACACATTCTTGTTAAGTTGTGGCTCTAATTCTCAACACTAGACCTCCTGTTCCAGAAGGCTTTCCTCTACAGACTGTGAAATGTTGAGCTGTCCTTAGGTCTTCTTGGGGTAGTTACCCCTGGTTCTCAGGGGGCGAAGATTTGTACTTAAAAATCACAGGTTTAAGTCCCTCATGGTGCTTATATTTTGAGGATGAACAATTATGGTTTCTCAGGGATGTGGGACAACCAGAACTGTCCCTAGGGGGATGCACATCAGCAAGGTTTACATACCTGTTTGCTATGATAAAATCCATTCTTGTTGCAGTTTGGGAGATAAAATTTGTAAATTTCTTCTCCAGCCTTCTGCTGATCCTTGGCTAATCTATCTAGGACTTTGTAGAGTTCTCTTTGGCATGGCTCCTAAAAGAAGGATTTGACAATAGTAAAAATGATGAGATAAAATCACAAAGATGGGTCTCTCCTCATCAAGAACAAAGAAGAATGAAGAAAACGAAAGATGCATGGAACCAATTAGTCCAAGGGACCAGTAGACCATGCAGTCCTCAGCTAATATGACCGTGAGACCAGAAGAACTAGATGATGTCCAGGTACTACTGTCAACCACTCAGAGGGGCTTGGTGCAGGAGATCCTGGAGAGAGTGGGAGAACAATGTGGAAGAAAACTCAAAATCACACACACACACGCACACACACACACACAAGACCGGGTTTGCTGGTCTAAGAGAGCCTTGTGAGACCCTTGAGTCTATGACCCCTAGCTACCCTTCAGGTCAGGAATCGAACTCACTCCTGTGGCCCAGCCAAATAATAGACAGGCATATGGGCTGAACATTTACAGAAGTATATATACTACCTGGAGAAATTAATCATGGGAGAGAAGAAGAGTGGTGTATGCACAGGGAGACAGCTCAGTGGGTGGGAGGGCATGGAAGGGAAAGACACAGGGAAAAAGTCACTTCCTTCCACTACAGGAAGGAAGTGGGAAGAGAGCTGTTACTTTGTGGGGAATTGCAGTCAATGTCATGAGTCAAAATGTGTAGGGACTGCTGTATGGAAAACGAATTTGCTCTGTACACTTTCACCCAAATCATAACAATTAAAAAAGAGAGAGAGAGAGAGAGAATGAAGTATTGCCAGCTACTCCTCAAAAGGAAGATTGGGCAATCTACTTCCATAGTTATACTGCCTCAGAAACCCAAGAAGGGGTCACTATGAGTAAGGTCTGACTCAATGGCAGTGAGTTTGGTATTTTGCTTTTTGTCTGACCTATAAATGAGAGTAGTTAATCTCTGTCTTAAATTATCAAGATAAAAGAGAGGAATTTCATTCATCTGACTGAGAGAGAGAGAGAAAGCCCAGGCAATAGCCTACCAGACCCCATGCAGATTTTTTGACTCCTTCAGCTACCCACTGAGTAAGTTCGGCACCAGGTATCTGGTTGAAGGAAGAGTGGGCACAGCTCTCTCAATAGGGAATTTAACAGGAAAATGTCGATGCCTCAAACAACTTTCTTCTGTATCTACAAAGTTATCCCACATAAATGGAATCAAATGGGGAGTAAGACCCATATATGGATAATTTAAGAATTAACTTTCCTCCATTTGTCATTATTTCCAGGTGAGGCATCTAGAAAATTGATTTAATCATCCACTTTTCTGTTTGTGTGTGTGTGTGAAATTCCCATTTTCTCAAATCAACTCAAGGCATTCCAATATTTATTCTATGTTGCCCTCAAGTGGTAAAATTAAAAACAGACTTCAGTTAAGATTAGATGGGCCAGGGTTGGGAAGGGAATGCAGTTGGGGGATATCCTTGTGCTGAGCTTTAGACTAGTTTAACTCGATGTTCTTTAGAGATAGTCTAGTCTGATACCATCATTGTAGAGATGAGTCCAGAGACATGAAATAATGTATCTAAAATTACATAGCAGGAATTGCACTATTTTTCTTCTCCAAACAGTTCTTCTAAAGACTGCTTAAAGTACTTGTGCTGAAAAGCATGTAAAAGCTAAGATGAAAATCATCTATTAGGCTTTGGGAAGAAAAGTCTTTATGTGCAGGGCTTCAGGACCAGGAAGGAGGCCACAAGGCTTCCACATGGAGAGAGTGCCTACCACTAGAAGGACCTTACCTTCCATTTCTTGATGTCTGCAATCTCACGAGCCTTGATGCTCCCGTAAGTGCTGATGGCATTCCAGAGGATGGACCTGTCCTCAGTAGATGGGGCCATCAGGTGAAAACTCTCCAGAAGCTGTTCCTGTGTCATTTCCACACTCTCAGGGGAAACATTTTCTGAATCTGATGAGCCCTTCAAGTCTGAAATGGAACAAACAGTTCCTTTGAGCCTTCTACCAGCATCTGCACTGTGCCACCCCAAAGTCACACTGAATGAGACCTAACAAATGCTTTCCTTCCCTCAAAACCAGACAGGGCACAAGGATGGCCACATTCATCCAGACTGTTGCCAACTCTCCTTCTAGAAGCACTTCTAATTGTTTTGGGGAAAAGTGGCAACAAAAGCAGTGGAAAAAACAGGTTTTGGAGTCTTGTAAACCTTTTTTTTTTTTTTTTGCTTCTAAGGGAGGGGAGCAACATCACATTTGTGGAGGTATGGTAAAATCCTTGAAGAAGGCAGGAATTAGGGCTCAAGTCCTGACTCCATTAGCAGAGAGTGGTGGGACCATTACTTACCCTGTTAGAGGCTTAGTTTCTTCATCCATAAAATGAGAATTTTAGTACTAATCTATGAATAGGCAGGGTGAGGTTTATTTAGAAATGGGGTCCAGATTGCAACCCTGCTGACCCATAGCCCTATACTCTTCCTTCCCCAGGGGCCTGCCATCTCACATAACAAGTGATTCATTCGCAACTCCTGGAAGAGGGAAGTCACTGGACATATTGTAGATAAAGTCTAAGGATTTGGATTCAGTGTGTGAAAGAATCATGAAGAATTCATTCTAATGAGACCTGCTGCAAGAATCAATCCCTTTAGGAAACTGTCCTCTTCTGGAAGGCATACATTTATTTATAGAAATTATTCCATTTATTCCAAAGGACAGAGAATGGACAGGAAAAGTGCATACATCCTTGGAAGGGTCACACAGTCAAGGCAGATTCCTATCAGAGTATGGAATCATGAGATTCTTCCAAGAATTCACACAGGATGTGCAATCAGTCCAGATAGGGAGGTAGGAATTCAGGAGTATAAAAAAGGTATGTATTTCCTTGCTTCCCACTACAGATAAATTACTACTCAAATTTGGGAGAGACTGTCAAGTTCTTAGGAGGTCACCACAATATACCTGTTAAACACTGTTTTTCTAAGGCAATGAATGGAAGTGAAATGTTTAGCATAAAACCTCAAATTATGTTCTGTAAGCATGTAGGAAGCACATATTGTACCCACAGGACATATATTACAAATGACATTCCAAGCTTGTTTCAGGTTGGGGAGAAGAGAGCAGGAGAGATGTCTACCTCAGATCTTCAGATTGGAGGATGTAGATTGAAGGGTTGCCCAAATGTTACAGAGGAGACGGTCCAGGCTGCATCTCTTCTCCATGCCAGGGCAGCCCGTTCTGCTCCCTCCAATCTCTTTTAGGGATATAAGGAACCTCTGGGTGTCAATAGGTCACTGGGCTATGGTGCACTAAAGTTGTGTCCTTTCCTCCACACTCCCACTAGTCTAACGTGTCCCTGGTCATCTCTTGCCAGGGTGGACTCACCTGGGTGGTCTGAGGTCCAGCACTCTACAGGTTTTTGTTGAAAGCTCACAGGCTGACTGGGGTAAGGTGTTGGCTCACCTGTGGCTTCGGCACTGCTGGTGGTCCCATCATCGGCTGGCACAGGCATGCAGGCACCCTGGCCGCGGGTGAGGGCATGCAGAGGCCTTGGCTCCCCAGGCATTGCACGGCAGCTCAGTCCACGACCACAGCGAGCTGTGCTCACACCGCATGGTGCACTCAGCTGCAGGGCACAAGTCTGACAGCAGCCGCAGCCGACTGGCGGGGCAAGCTCCAGGCACGAGGCGGGCACTGGTGGGCAGAGTGCCAGCTTTTCATTGGAGCAGGGCGCACAGCGCCAGGGCAAGGGCCCACCAATTGCCCTGCCAAGGAAGATGCCCAGCAGGAGCATTAGCGGCCAGGAGCGGGCAGCGAGGTTCTTAGGCATCATCTGGGGCAGAAGGTGGCCAACGGTGTCAAGCAGCGGTGGAGGGATGGAGGTGTGATTGTGGAGAGCCGTGGCAGACAGAGGCAGCAGTCTGGAGGCACACTGGCTACAGAAAGTGGGCGATAATCGCTGGCCTCCGCGCGCACCTTATGAAGGGTGCAGAATGCTCCACTTGTTAATGATTGACAGCGCTTTGCGCTTGGATCTGGGTACTCAAGTTTGTTTTGCTCTTCCCTGGTGCGCTCAAGGCCCTACGCAAACCGTGGGTGGAAGGAAGGTAAACGGTTTGGGTTTCAGATTTGTGTTTGTCCTGTTACGTGCAGACAAAGTCCAATTCTAACAACAAGCACTGCTGCCAGGTGCAGGGATGGCACTTGTTTTTGTGTAAGGGCCATCTCTGGGGCCTGGCATAAGTGGCCAGTGCTCTTAAGCTCTTCCAGGCAAAGCCCAAGAGATAAGCAACACCAAGCCCATCTACTAGTTTTCTAATGGGGAAACCAAGGCCCAGAGTGAGGAAGGGCAGGTTAGAACCTAGCTCTCTGCAAACCTTGGTGGTCTTTTTTTGCCAAAGCCCAGAACAGCCTCTCCCTCCACAGAAGACCCCACAACCTCAGGAAGCAAAGTCATTCCTATGAGGAAGTAAGAAAAGGAGGGAGGGGAAAAGGAAGGAAGGAAGGAGGACTCTAAATAATGCGTACATTGCTGAATCACCAGCTAGCAGCCATTCTTTCACTCTACAAAATAATGCTTCATCCAGAGAAGGGCATAAGGGAGAGATAAAAGTAGTGGTCCTGGGTTTGAACAACAGAGAAAACCCTACCTACATAAATACGGTATAAAATACCACAAGGGTTGCACATTTGGGAAATTGTAGGAATGGGGGGAAGGGGAAATTTTCCGTACAGAGCCATCTTCACAATTGGGACTTGAGGGATGAGGTTTTTGTCAGGTCTGAGGCATGAAGAGCAGCACCCAGATGGGTATGGAGATACAATCCCACAGGGAGCACAGCCCAGGCATTCCATGTCACATCCCACATTCCATAAGAGAAAATTTATCACAAAAGGCAGACAGATCCCCTGATGTCATCACTGGGATGGAGGGCTTCTTCCTGACTCATCTGAGAGGGACAGAGCCAAATCATGCCTGCCAAACAGCATCACATTACCCAATAAACAAGGCAAGTGTGGACTTACTTGTGCTTACTTACTAATCTGTAGTGAACAATTCACATATTTCACTAAATCAAAGATTCTGCTTCTAGGTATGGCTGGCATCTGTCTCTCTCTCAACCCCCAGTACCCTCAAAGGTTCTTTTGAAATTTACAATCCCTGACAAGAATGGAATACTCAGTAAGTACCTTGCTTATTGGGTAATCTGCTCTTGCTGCCTTTATGCATAGGCCACCCTGGCTCTGGGTTGCACTGTGTGCATGTGCCAGTTCTGCAGGTGCTGTAGTCACTTAGGGGGCACTGTGGGATAGAGGCCACCATCATCTGTCTGTCATACTATAGTGTCTTGCATGCTGCTCTGAGGCTGGAAGCTATGTCACCAGTATTTCAAATACCAGCAGGATCACCCATGGTGGACAGCTTCCAGACTAGAACAGACTAGGAAGAAGAAAGGGGCAGTCCACTTCTAAAAAAACTAACCACTGAAAACTCATGAATAGTGGTGAAGCACTGTCTAAAATACTACCAGAAATCATTATGAATAGCAGTGAAACACTGTCTGATATAGGGCCAGAAGATCAGGTCCTCAGATTGGAAGGCAATCAAAATAAGACTGAGGAAGAGCTGCCTCCTCAAAGTAGAGGCCACCTTAATGACATATGTAGAGGAAAACTTTCAGGGGCTTCATTTCCTGATGTTACACAACTCAAAATGAGAGGAAATAGCAGCAAACGTCTACTAATAATCAGAACATGGAATGTATGAAGTATTAATCTAGGAAAATTTGAAGTTGTCAAAAATGAAACGGAAAGCATAAAGATCAATATCTTAGGCATTAGTGAGCTGAAATGGACTGCTACTGGCTGTAAGTTTGGGGGGCTGATGCTCAGATAAACCAGGCCAAAGAAATAGAAAAGGAGAGTTTATTTAAGAGATGCAAGCATCAAAGCAAATGGATTGACTGTCTGAGTTAGGGTCTTTTTTATCCTCCTCTCTGAACTCCTCATTTCCTTGCCTCGAGGTTTAAGACACCACACGGTTTAGTCAGCCAATCTCACAGTCAGCTCCTTTTGGTCAGTTTGTTTCTTCCCTGTGGTCATGGTGCCCCTATAAGATAACTTTTTACAGAAGTCAGACAGTAGTCATGAAGTATTTTCAGAAGTCTGATAATCTGGAATTTTTTTTCTTTTTTTTTTTTTTTGGTAACGTTCCGTTTTGGCTGAGTGTAAATTATTGTGAGGTTTGATTTTATTAACCCTTCAAATGTGCGGCTTGATTTTATTAACCCTTTAATTGTGATGTTTGATTTTATTAACTTTTCACTAGCCATTTTGAATAAGACAATTATATGGTCTATTATTCTGAGAATGATAAATTGAAGAGGAATGACATGGAATGTCAAAAAGAACATTTCAATATCTATTCTGAAGTACAATATTGTCACTGATAGGATAATATCCATATGCATACAAGGAAGTTCAGTTAATACTACTATTATTCAAATTTACACACCAACCACTAAAGCCAAAAATGAAGAAATTAAAGACTCCCACCAACTTCTGCTGTCTGAAATTAACCAAACATGCAATCACAATGCATTGATAGTTACTAGTGACAGGAATGCAAAAGTAGGAAACAAAGAAGAAAATTCAATTGTTGGAAAAGCTGGAGATCTGATGATAGAATTCTCCAAGACCAGTGACTTATTCATTGAAAATACTTTTTTTTTTTTTCCAACAAAATAAACAGGACTATACACATGGACTTCACTAGATGGAATACACAGTGTTCTGGTTACTT